AAAAAAAAAAAAAAAAAAAAAAAAAAAAAAAAAAAAAAAAAAAAAAAAAAAAAAAAAAAAAAAAAAAAAACAAAAAACAAAAAAAAAAAAAAAAAAAAAAAAAAAAAAAAAAAAAAAAAAAAAAAAAAAAAAAAAATTCATTTCAACCAGAGAACTGTGTACATCATGTCCATCATCCACCAACAGAAGATGTGACCAACAATGCTTGGATGGTGACACAAGAAAGCCTAGACCCATCTCATCCCCTCGCGTCGTATTCTCGCCCTGTAGGTTGACGTGTGGACAGGAACAGCCTGCAGCTTGCCTTCTTGTATGACCCTGTTTCCTGAGGGGGGTTCCTGTCTTTATCTTCCATCCACCTTCTAGTCCAACATAGAGTTGCACCACTAAAGTCGCCCTGACGAACCAAGGGAATCACCGCAGTGACACTCCTCCTGCATCAATTTCTTTATCACCGCCTGTCTCTGATTCATCGTTCATTTCCAGTCCGATAAGTCTGCTTGAGTTCGATTCATCGGCGCCAATGTCAGCAGAATCCACCTGTTTGATGTCACCCGCTTCCACAGTCTCTAATGTCTTGTTGAAAAGACTAGACAGGTCATCCCCGTTGAGATCGATCTGAAATTCAAACAAACTGCCCAGGCCTTCCTGTCCGCTGTCTTCCGCGCAGTCTTCGGTGGGACCAGGAGCTGCACATGAACGCAGACCCAAGTTCCGGACGATATTGGCATCAGAAACCGGCCTGCCTGCCAGCTCAAACGCAGCGGGAGGCCCGATGGCGGGATCGTTGCAGACCTCGTTGATGCTGGCCCAGGAGCGCTCCTCCAGATTGGTGAACCGACGCTCGCAGTGACGACAGGCTCTGAGGATGCACGGCAGCGGTGGCAGCGGATGCGGGAACAGGTCAGCCGTTGATCCGCCAGGGCTTGCAGGAGAAGATGCGGTCTGTCCGGTCTGCTGCATGGCAGCTTCTCCAGCCCCGTACTCGGCTTCCAGCATGGAGATCGAAGGACTCGGAGCTCTCTCCATGTCAGCCATGGTCAGGACGCGCAACTTTTGCTGAATCAACACCTCTCGTTCTTCCTCCGTGTATTGTCCGGTTTCAATCGCTTTCAAAATCCAGGGACTGAGAAATGGGCCTCGGATGGGATCCAATGGGTCAGAGAAACCCGAGGTGTCTTCGACACAGACGAAGAACGACCCGAGGAAAGGAATCCTACCGCAAGACTCGCACTGCTCATAGGGGTTCACGGAAAACTGTCGTTCCACCACGCTGTGTGTGCAGAGCGGCAGACGGACGAATGGCTGGCGAGGTGGAATAGGTGGAAGAGGTCTACCAGAATTCTGGCTGGAGGGAGTTCCTTGAGCAGAGGAGTGATCGGAGGGTAGACCCTGTAGAGGCTGTGGGATAGATCCGTCCGACGATTGTTGACTCTGCTTAGGAGGGTTCGGGGAATCAGCCAGTTTGGCTTCATCTTTGCCGCCTACCATGATGGGCTACTGATGATGGGAGAGAAGCGATAGACTGAGGATTAAATGGAAAGAGAGATAGAGGGAGGGATGCATTGTATAATGGTAAATAACAGAGTGAATACTTTCACTTGCATCTGCCTCAGATTTTCTCACTTTCTGTCGGAGGTTGCTTATGTCGTCAGTTGCCTCGACGATAGTAATGACATGGACAACCGTGAAGACTGGGTTTTCCACAGACATGCTAATAAAAGAAGGAGTTCAACACAGACACCTGATATAGCAAATGAGTGAAGATTCTAACGAGACAATATAATCCAATTGCTCTCCTGCATTAAGTGCTTGGCCTGTTGATGCTTGTCAGTCATGGGTTCAAGAAGTGAAAATTGGGTAGAACAAATCCATTCTGCGATAAAAATAGAGGATATCTAGAATTGATATCACCCATTTGCACAGGTCATAGTTACCACTCCGTAGGTAATCAAGATCTCCAGGATAATTGCATCGGAGGTGACCGAAGCCGGGGACACGCAGGCCGCGGGACGAAGCGCCAGGGAAAGTGCCGGGCGTCGTGGCCGGTCGGACTTTGCCTCTTTCTCTCTCTCTCTCTTCCATCTCAGCTCCTCCACTTAGGAAATCCCATCCACCGCTGTTGCTGTTGTGCAGTTGTGGTCCTCCATTGCTTGCATAATTTTAGTCCTATATTAATCCTCTCTTCCTGTCCCCATCGGATCTTTAGAAATCCAAGCGTCTCTCCATTCTTTCATTTAATCCACCCACTTCCTCCACACTCCCCTTCCCTCCCCTCATCCTGTAATTCCAATTCCCAATTCCCAACGAAAGGGCCCTTTCTCGTCCGTCGAATCCTACCTCGGTAAGCTTCCTTTGCCATCCGCTCTCCAGCCTCCTCTCTTTGGTAAACAAACCATCCCCACTTCGGACCCCCCTGTTTCTCCTGTTCCCTTCTGCGCGGGACTCTTTTCCAACCTTAACCTCTTCTCCCAACCCCGTCGTGCCCCATTCCATTCATTCAGTATTCCCCGTCAACCCATCATTGCCGCCCTCCACATCTGGCTCTCCCTTGGTCGGTCATTGAATGCTTGTCCTTACTCTTTACCGCCGAGTCGCTCGCTAACCCGTACTTTTTATGAAAGCTAGGATCCTTGCTGGGTTTCGTCGTGATCCACTAGTACCCGATTGACCTTATCGCGCGCTTCCGAGATCCTTCCTTCCTTTTCACCCTCCCATCATCCGCAACCATGTCCGTCAAATTCGAAGATGAGGCCCAGCGATCGCTCCGCAAGGACACCAAGGAGTTGGCGCATAAGGTCGGCGAACGCTTGACCGGTGGAAAGACGGAGGCCGGCTACCTGGCTGTATGTTTACCTATTCTGTTCCCAACCTTGCCGCCCGGCGCGGACCGTGTCGCTGACTTGGGGATTGGACCTCGCTGCAGCTCTATCTCCGACAATTGCAGTCGAACCCGCTGCGCACCAAGATGTTGACATCGGGTGTTCTCTCGGGTCTGCAAGAAATCCTCGCCTCGTGGATCGCGCATGATGTCAGCAAGCATGGACACTACTTCAGCGCCCGCGTGCCGAAGATGCTTCTCTACGGAATGTTCATCAGTGCCCCTCTGGGCCACTTCCTCGTTGGCATTCTTCAGAAGATCTTCGCCGGCCGGACGAGCCTGAAGGCCAAGGTCCTGCAGATTCTCGTCAGCAACCTGGTGGTATGTTTGCCCTGTCTGGACTGCCGTCAACTGCGATGAATTAACAAGTCTAGGTCTCCCCCATCCAAAATGCCGTCTACCTCACCTCGATGGCCGTCATTGCCGGCGCGCGCACGCTGCACCAGGTCCGCGCTACCGTCCGCGCGGGTTTCATGCCCGTCATGAAAGTCAGCTGGGTGACTTCGCCCATTGCGCTGGCTTTCGCGCAGAAGTTCCTGCCCGAGCACACCTGGGTGCCGTTCTTCAACATCATCGGGTTCATCATCGGAACCTACGTCAACACCCACACGAAAAAGAAGCGCTTGGAGGCTCTCAGACGGGTAGGTTGATTTCTTCATATGACCTGACGGATAGCTAACGCGTGATGAATTAGCGCTACGACCAACGCCGCGACCCCGGCGCACCCGGCAGACCTGGCAGCGAATACGACAAGGAATACCGGTAAATAAGGTGGATGTACACTACTTGCTGCTACTTAGCTAGCAGCTGGTAGACCGGTCCAATCTTCCAGCCCCAATTCCAAAACGATTGTCAAGAAAGCCTGCAGTCTGATCCCTTTAACATGACAAAAGTTCTGGGGTTGAATTGCCATTGGAACGAAACCACCTCGCCGTGTTGATCTCATTTATTTTTCCTTTCCCTTCCTGTTACCCTACCCTAATCCGGCCCGGAGATCTTCACTCTTCTCCCTCTCTATCTTGTCTCCTTTCCGTGTCTGATTGCTCAGATGAAGAGATGTTTCACTGTTATGATCTATGCTTTTTCTTATCTTATTCTACCCTTTTGCCTCCTTTGTATGAGGATTTACCTTGGCGATATACATACCTGAGAATCGATTGTTTATAATGTCGCCTTTATATTGTTGAAATGCCAAATATCCAGATTTTCTGTGGGTCGATTTTTTAGTTAGAACGTACGGTGATCAGATTTGGCTCCGCGCTGGCTGTATAAGCAGTGATTGTCGTGGGAATCTTCTCATCAAGCTTATTTCAGAAAGTTTTGGAAGGTAAATGAACGGCAATCCATCTATTCATCCTGATGCATCCCCACAGACCGGGCAATCCTCGTAATCAACCACCACGATCAAATACCCCACTTTACTACATGCACACATAGCAGTCAGATAATTAGCTAGATAATTCGTATCCACTCCACTTGCTATCCTCCCTCCCCTCAAAGACACCCAGCTACCCACCCAACAAGGTAAACAGATTAATTCATTAAAGAAGAGAGCCGGATCACTCGACCTCCATCCCCCCCTCCCTCTTCTTCCCAACCCACTCCACAAACTCATCCAACGCCCCAGGCCACGCCCCATCCTCACTCCACCACCCAAAGGCCTCATCCTCACGGGTCTTCCGCATAAACACTTCCACCTGCTCCCATAGGTCCTTGTTGACGGGTTTCTTGCCGCGCTCGTCCAGGAACTCCACCCACCAATCCAGCCACGGCGTGGTCGCCGTGTTCCATTCGATGCCGCCGTTCGACGGCGTGAAGAACAGACTCCATTGCTCGGCGGCGATCTCGAATGGTAGGTTACGTGCGCCTTGCATGCGGCAGAGCGGGAATGTGTAGCGGTATACTCGTCGGAAGAGGTCCGGTTGGGTGGGGATGCGGGCGCGAATGTCGGATGCGTGGGTGGTCATTTTGTCGAGCGCGTCGCAACTGCAGACTTGGATTAGTTTGGTTGGAAGGGTTGGATAGGATAGGATAGGATAGGGTATTTGAGGAGGGATGACAGAAGGAGGGAGGGAAGGAAGGGGTATACATACCCGACAGTTCTCCAACCATTCAAGAACCCCTCTCGAGTAAATTCTCCCATGGAAGGCGACTTCAAGAGCTCGGCGATGCCCAGACAGGTCACCTCATCCAGCTGGACCTGGATATCACCGAAGAATTTCATGGCGCCGTCGATGCCGATGGTGTCGGGGCTCTCGGCCGGTTCGTCTGTGGGCTGTTAGATTTCTTTGCTGGTTGAGTTGATAGATGATAGGGAAGGAGAGTGGACTTGCCTAGGTAGCTGTCGAAGATCTTGTTGATAGCAGAGGTGCTGGCCCCGCCTCCTTGGGGGCTCTGGAAGTATCTGGGTGTTGTGTTAGCTATCTGGTTTTGGAGTATAATCTGTAAAGTCTGTTTGGTGTCGACGGTTGAAAAAGGCAGGATGAGGGTTTGATGCTATGCGATAGTCGCCAATAATGGTGTATGGTAGATGTAACATATTGGAATGGGAGATCTATGTTTGCCTTCAGCTGATAAAAATCGGATAATGCGTATCAGTGGTATCGAAGATACTCCATTCCACTTGAGACTGGATAAGACCGCAAAGCAACCTGGTCCGGTAAACTGAAATAGCATCTTGAGTATGATTCATACCCGAGTGCAAATTATCCAATCTGATCAAATCCAGAACTAGGCACGACTTGATGGTTTCGGCGATGCCAAGAACACCTCACAGCGAGTCATACAGGCTCTTTGTCTGAAGTCGAGTCTGCATTGCGTCGGACGGTCTCTTCTCGAAGGGAAATGCCCTGCCATAACGATGGCTGGATAGGAAGTACGCAGAAGGCAACAGTAACCTCTGTTCTTGTCTGATGAAGGACGCGGAACAAAGCCGCCATCTCAAATAGACGAACCGCGGCCACAGGGCCGACAAATGGCGAACGACCAGCTTCGATAAAATTGCATAGAGGATTCCAGATCCAAATGCTCGAAGAGGGAACGAGTCCTTGATCTCTACCTATTGCGAAACGCAATAGCCACCAGAGAGAGACAGCAGGGGAACGCCAAGACATGTAGAAACAGACAGTGAAAGGGAAACAATCAAAATATTATGTTACTCACGCATCAATTGCTTCTTGAACATTCCATCTTGCCGATTTCAAGAACTAGACACACATCAGATGTCAGTGAGTGATATTGGGTGTGGCAGTTCACGTGACACGATGATAAACCGGGCAAGACGACAGAATCATGGGATCTGTGGAAGACAAAAGCACGGGAGATCACTGACCTTAGCAGCTACCGTATCCTTAGCCTGTGTGAAGCTCATGAACTGTGCGATCTGTTGCTTCTGCGCGCTGGAGTATGGAGGCATGGTGGGGTGAGAGAAACAGGCCGGCGCCTGCGATAAGCCGCGGATGATGGGAAAGGGTGAAGGTGGGAGATGGGACCGGGGTCAGGGACTGAGAGGATGGGAAGATGGTCTGGTGATTTGGTCCGGAAACAAGGGTTTCTGAAACGAAAGCAGGTCGTCAGGACTGGCGAAGCACAGTATATCTGATTTGATTTGAGGCAAAGTTGGGCCTGGCCGCTGACTGATCGTCCCTGCACGTGCCCCGCATTTGCCGTTTAGTGCTGGGCGGTTATGTTGTTCATTGTGTATAGACTGGGAAGTGCTTTGGCTATCTCATACAGATGTCATAGAAGTAGGGAGAGCTCTTTAGTGGATTCATTGCTACTGCAGCTATGCCCATGCTGCACCAAAATTTATACTGACGTGTTTGGGGTTCTGACAATGTCACGTGCTTCATGGTATATCCAGAATCCTTCCTCCAACATTCTGCTAAACAGCAGTCTATTGGAAGTAAGCCGGAAAGTACAAATGAAATAAAGCATTCAAGGCATTCGAACAAATATTGACATTTCCATATCTAATAGGAAGCCTTAATCTAGAGACTCAATTTCAAATCCAGACAAGAGACACTTTTAGCTGAACAGATAGACGACTCCAAAACTCCGACAGAATCCCCAGGTATCTAGCCTCCGAATCCCATTCTCTGTCTCGACATTCCACCTCGTTCCTCCTACGTCGTGAACAGAGTATCTTCCTAGAAGCTTGTCAGTATCAATTCGAGAGCCCGCCGCAACGCAAAAGTGATCGCCTTACCTCTCTGAGATACTCGCCCAGATCAGATTGCCGGTGCACAGCAATCGACGTAGGAGCGAGTTTCTTCAACTCTGCCGTGGATCGCGCGGTGATTCCAAAGCCCTGAGACCGTTAGCACTGGGCAGTCCAACCATCCGTAACCCAAGATCTTACCAAAGGAGTATCGTCCATGTTGTAGACCACCACACCCTGGTGCTCCGGAATATCCTCGCTCCATCGTCCCACATGGGCACCGAGCACACTTGAACCGTACAGGAAGGGCATCTGGCCGTTGTCGCGGATCCAGACCTTGTAGCGGGCGTGGGGCGCAATGATATCGAGGGCCGTGAGATGGACGCGGAATTTGCCCGTCTTGGTGAACTTGCCCATGCAGGTTCCGACGGTCAGGAGGTTCGCGCGAGGAATCGACGTGGCCAGGTTGGCCAGCGACAGTCTCATATAATAGACGCGGTTGCCGTGCAGTCGGAAAACGTATCGATCGCCCTCGTCTTCGGAGGTAATGAGGTTGTTCAAGGAGCGGCCGGTGTAAATGGCCAGCTTGCCAAGCATAGTCTTCAACTCTTCCTCGGTTAATTGACGCATTTTGATGGTAGGGAAGTGTGTTATTCAAGGCGTGCTTGACAGGATAACTTTTTTTTTTCTGCTCCGCGGACAAAAACTCTAGACAGAGTGGAGATCCTCTAGCGCCGGCAGGTCTTGGCACCCGCGCAGAAAAAAAAAGTTTCGGACCGCCAGGAAGAATCACCCCGTCTCAACCACCTCCAATTTCTCTATCTTCGGAGCATCAAATACAAGATGGCTCCGAGTCGCACAACCAAGAGAAGACGCGTCACTCCTCCTGCCGATGAGGGCAGTGGCTCGCAAGCCAAGAAGGACTTCTACAGCAACGCCGCCGAATGGGACATTGAACAGGATTATGAGCGCCGCCCGCGCAAGATGGGCAAAAAAGACAAGGAGCGAACGCGGTTACCGATCAAAACGGCTGAAGGCTTCCAGAATGTCGAGGAGGCTGAGCCCGAGGCTGCTGAAGAGTCCGACAGCTTCCTGGGCACCGATGACGACGACGACGACGAGCTACCGGATGCCGACGAAGGGATCGAAGACGAAGAATCCGTGGAGGAGAAGCCCAAGATTTCCTTGAAAATACAGATTCTCCAGGCAAAGGAAGAAATCGCAAAGGCTGCCACGTTGATCAACGAGGACCCCGAGGAGCATCTCAACTCGTTCAAGACGATGTCGGAAATGGTGGAGAAGGGTTCGCATGTTGCGATCAAGAAACTGGCTCTGGCCGCACAGGCAGCCATCTATAAGGACGTCATCCCCGGGTACCGGATCCGCCCTCTCAGCGAAGAGGAGATGACCGGCAAGATCTCCAAGGACGTGCGCAAACTCCGTGACTTCGAGCAGACTCTTGTGTCGGGGTACAAGCACTACGTGCACACGCTGTTGGACCTCACCAAGCCAGTCAAAAGAGGCCAGGCCGAGGTGGATCCCAGCCTGAAAAGTATTGCCATAAACTGCACCTGCAACCTGCTCCTTTCCGTGCCGCATTTCAACTTCCGGACCGAGCTATTGAAGATCCTGGTCAACCGCCTTGCGCGGAAGAAGGTCGATGACGATTTCATCAAGTGCCGCGAGACGCTAGAAGATGTATTCCACCGAGACGACGACGGGATTGTTTCCCTCGAAGCCGTGCGCATGCTGTCGAAGATGATGAAAGCCCGGGACTACAATATTCACGAAGGCGTTCTGGACACATTCCTCCACCTACGCTTGCTAGGCGAATTCGGCTCCAAGGCGTCCCGAGACAGAGTCGATCGCGGCGAGGACGAAGAGAACAACTTCCGCGGTAAGAAGCCCAAGCAGAAGAAGGAATTCCGCACCAAGCGCGATCGCAAGGTAGAAAAGGAGCGGAAGGCCGTGGAGAAGGACATGAAGCAGGCGGATGCGTTGGTCTCCCACGAGGAGAGGGACAAAAACCAGGCCGAGACCCTGAAACTGGTGTTTGGAATCTACTTCCGGATCTTGAAGCTCCGTATCCCTAATCTCATGGGCCCGGTTCTTGAAGGTCTCGCCAAATACGCCCACCTGATCAACCAAGACTTCTTTGGCGACTTGCTCGAAGCCCTGAAGGAACTGATCGGACATGCGGACAAGAGCGAAATGGACGGAGACGACGAAGACGCCGACGTTGACAACACCGAGGACGAGACGACAACGCGAGACGCCCAGCGAGAGGCCCTTCTCTGCACCGTCACAGCCTTTGCCCTCCTGGAAGGACAAGAGGCCAGCAAGGTCGCTGCCACGCTGCATCTGGACCTGAGTTTCTTCATCAAACATCTCTACCGCTGTCTCTACTCTCTCTCCGTCAACCCCGACATCGAATTCAACCCCAACAAATCCCTCCGCCTCCCCGACCCCAACATGCCCAACTACGGGAACCACCGGTCCCGCAACAAGGTCAACTTCCAGACTCCCACCGTCCTCCTCCTCCGCTGCATCTCCTCCACTTTACTCTCTCGCGCCCACGGCATCCCGCCCTCCGTCCGACTCGGCAGCTTCACCAAACGCCTCATGACCACGTCTCTCCAAGTCCCTGAGAAGTCCGCCATCGCGACGCTAGCGCTCCTAAACCAAGTCGCGAAGCACCACGCGCGACGGATCTCGCCGCTCTGGCACAGCGAGGAACGCAAGGGCGACGGCGTATTCAACCCCTACTCGCAGGAAGTCGAAGCCACGAATGTATTTGCCGGAACGGTATGGGAGGGAGAGCTCCTGCGACATCACTACTGCCCGCAGGTGCGCGATGCAGTGGTGGACATGGAGAAGATGATTTCGAAAAAATAATGTTGTTGTTTCCTGTAACTAGTATCTTACGCCGGATAAGTAGTAGCTACTATCATTTCATACCCCTTATGGCCAGCCATATCATTATTTTCTCAGTTTTTGCAGTGTTAAATCATTTCGTGATTCCATTCATAACTACCTATCCATGATTCATTAATCATCATCAGGCTTCTTTTGTGAGAATTTTAAAAACATTTCGTGGCCCGGCAGGATCTCTTCAAGAGTCCACAGAAAAACAACAAAAAGAAAGAACAGAAACCACGTGATCCCTTCCAATCAACGTCACATACAATCACCGCCACGTCACTTTCATCTCAACTCAATGAACAAAACTGAAACCAACCCGATATTCCACTATGTCCTGAACAACTCAGGATAGAACCAATTCGACAAGGCGAAATAAAGTGGTTGTCAAAAAAAAGAACAGTCTCCAACTGAACCGATCTGATTGATTGATGAAAGACGAATGATCGACGAGCAAGCGAAGCGACGGATTAATTGTTGCCCTGGGGAGACGAATTGCCCTGGCCCTGTCCGGACTGATTCGCCTCATAGGGATTGCCAGTTTCGGGGGGCGCCTGGCCGCAATTCTCCTGGTACCAACGACGCATGTAGATGTCATCAATGGATGACATGCCTGGCTGCCAGCGAGGCGGCATCACGACGTTTGGAGCACCAGTGAGAGAGCTGGTCAACAAGCTGTTGTTGGCGCCATGTGCCCCATAGTAGTGGGAGACGATTGCACGAGGCGCCTGGCCGAACGAAGGGGGGTTCTGGTTCGGGTGGGTGAACGGTGCAGGTTGCTGCTGGCGGCCCGGCAAGATGGGACGAAAAGTCACAGGTGGGTGCATAGGAGGGCGACCGACATGAATAGGACCTCCGTATGAGATGCCGGGAATGTGGTGAGGCAACAGAGGGTTAGGACCGAAGGGCATGTGCTGCTGATCCTGAGAGGGCTCGCCAGACGGCTGCAGCTGGATGTTTTCAGCGGACTGCTGACGAGCGAGGCCTTCGAGACGCTCGCGTTCAGCCAGGATGGCCTTCTGGCGTGGGGTGCGCAGTGTAGGGTGCACGAAGACAGGGTCTCCCTCAGTGGAGTTCTGGTTGGCGATGGCCTCCGGGCTGCCAGGAAGGGGGCAATAGAGGTCATAGCGTGAAGTCAGGTTTGGGATGGGGATAGGCTGAGAGATCAGTGGCTCGTTGGCGCTGATACCAGTGTCCTTATCCTTGTTGCGCTGAGGGGTTCTGAAGATACCGCTGGAGGACGAGGACAGGTTGTTGCCATCGCGGTTCCGCTTGAAGCTGCTGAACACACCCTTCTTTTTCTTGTTTGGGGTGGACTTGACATCCTTGGTGTCGTCCTTCGATTCAGCCTTGGAGTCAGCCTTGGAGTCAGCCTGGGAGTCAGCCTGGGAGTCAGCCTTCAAGCTCTTGGTCTCAGACTTTTCATCGTTGACCTCGGACTTTTCGTCAGTGATGGCCTGTTCGATGCTAGGCTTGCCTTCATTCTCGAGGATGTCCTGGGGCTTGGACAGGACCTCATCGGAACTCGCCTTGACGTCCTTTGGCTCGGACTCGGACTGCTTCATAGAGGAGTTGCTGCCCTTCTTGGAGGACATCTTGTCGGCCTTCTTGGCCTTCTTGTCCTTGTCGGACCGAGTGAAACCAAAGACCATATTGGTGGCGTCAAAGATATCACCAGGTGAGAGTTGAGGAATGTGAGTAGAACTGGCTGGTCTGGATGTCTTTGGCTCAGGACTGCCAGAAGACTCCTGCCGGGGATTCTTGATGGCTCGCCTGATCTCTCGATTAATCGCAGTGTTTGGTTCTTCAGCGTTGTGGAAAGAGGGGGTGTGGAAGGTGGTGGGAGGAAGAAGATCCGAAGGGTGAGAGTGAAGGTTGTTATTGTCACCACGTTCACTCAGGTCGCCGCGGTCACCAGCCGCACACTTTTGTTCTTGCTGCTCGGCGCGTTTGCCTGTCTCGTTCAGACTGCCAGCACTAGTAGCCACAACACATTCACCCTGCTTGTTGTGTTCTGCTGCGACCTTCTTGCCCTCCTCTGGTCTTTTCACCACCCCCTCACTCTTCGGAACCGTCGCCGCACGAGCCTTCTTCTTGCTGTTCTGTCGCTTCTCGTACTCCTTGGTCCCCTTTGCCAGGTACTGACTTGCCCCCTGCGACTCGCCTTGCGAGGAGCTCCATCCCGCGGCGGTGTTGTGGGGGGCTTTGCTCGTGGTGATGGGCAGATTTCTGAGGTCAGTTCTCACCTGCGCCAGCTCTGTTTGAACACATTCCACAAGTTTGTTCTCCATCCGAAACGACTGATGCTGCAGCTCACTGACCTGACATCGCAGATACTCGATCGACTGCTGTGCCTCCCTGATGATATCGGCCTGGTTGACGGTACGCGCGTTCAGCATCCGGGCTACATCGGTCACCGACTCGACCTGGCGGATAAGCTGGTCCGTGGACCAGTTGATGTTGTTCTCCGTGTTGCGGGTCAGCTTTCCCAGCGCGGTGTCCAGGTGGTGGTGGATCGAGTTGGCGTGGGACGTGACATGCTGCTCCAGGGTCGGCGTGTTCTGGTAGCCGGGATGAGGGGGAGGAGGTGCGAAGCCTCCGTGGCTAGTGGTGCCGGTAAAGAACCTCGCTTCATCCATAGGCATTTGTGAGTCAAGCTGATGAGAGTCTAGCTGAGGGGCAAAGGGCGCGTTGTGTTGTCCTGGTCCATACTGCGTCTGTGCAGGTCGAGGTCCCGAGGGCACGAAGGCATGCCGGCTCGGTGCTCGGCGTGGGGCCTTCTTCTTCCGGCCCTGATCTGAGGACACGATCAATGGGTGCTGCCTCTGCTGTTTGTCTGACGCCGGCTTGTTCTGCTCCACGGGGCCGGCCTTTGGGGCGTTCGTGGCCTCTGCGGTGTTGTCGTCGTAGATGGATGGCGAGTATTCATAGACAATCTCTGCAGCGGGCATAAGGCCCCCCGTCGCTTTGACCGGGGTGACTGGCCCTTCTTCTGCTTTCATGCTGCAGACTCTTTGTCCTGGCATGACAACCTCCGGATGGCCAGCGTTGCGCAGTTCCCCCGTATGAGCTGGAGGAGAAGATCCATCGAGCAGCAGCGTCTCTAGCCGCGTGCCGGTCTGCGTCTGCCTCATCGTGAGGCCATCGCTGTGTTCATCGTGGATGAACGCGTGCCGGAACTTCTCGGCCTTCTTTTCGCCCTTCGCCATGGCCGCCGGAGGAGACGAATACATGCTGCTTTGTGACGCCCTGTCCGTGCCCAGCGACTCGTGGAAGCTCGACTTGCCCGCCGGCGCCGACGACGGCTGCTCCGTATTTCCGCCACGTGCCTTCGGCACGTACAGCCTCTCCTCCTCGAAAGAGGGAGGTGACTGCGCCAGCCGTGGTGTCCTCAGACCCCCCTCCGCCGAGATGCCGCTGCTACTAGACTTTCGCAAAGTAGGCACCGCCGGAGGCGGGGACGAGTTCTCCCGCCGAAACTCTCTGGCCAGGTCCTTCAAACTGAACTTCGACCGGAGCGAAGCGACCTTGGACTTCTTCCCTGAGTCAGTCGGGCTCTCTGGCGCCAGATCCCCCGAGCGCTTCTTCGTCAGTCTCGCCCTATATGTAGACGATGACCGTCTCTGGCTGGATGCCACCTCCGCCAACTCGGCCTCAGTTGGCGGCAGGTGGCGCGGCTTTGGCATTGGGAGGGCCAGTTCCTGGTCGTAGTCCAGGCCTTTTGATCGTCGGCCGCTGCCCGTGCTTGGGCGCGGCGTTTGTTCTGTGATATGACTGTCTGTCAGTCTATTGTTTCCTTCCTTTTTCTTTTTCTCTTTTATCTCATTTGTTTTCCTTTTCCCTTTTTCCTTCCCCCCCCCCAAAAAAAAGAAAAAAGAAAAAGAAAAAAAGGTTAAAAAACAGAAAACAAAAAATGTTAAAAAATCAAAAACCAAAAAAAGAAGATCGAAAGATCGTCACCGGCAACAGAAGAAAAGGATATGTTTTGAGAAAAAGACAGAGAGACACAGAGAGACACTGAGAAACGCACAGAGACAGGCACACAGAGACAGGCACACAGAGACAGGCACACAGAGACAGGCACACAGAGACAGGCACACAGAGACAGGCACAACAAGAGATACATCAAAGGCATCAAATCAACCAAACAAAACATAACCCAAGCCCCAGACCGACCACAAAAAGAACCATGAAGACTTACCTTGGTTAGGACTGGCACTCTCACCCAACTGCCTCTGCCTCTCTCTCTCCTTGGCCTTCATCTGCGCGAACGCGTTGCCTTGAATATAAGACATCTGGGGCAAGCTGACGCGGGGATTCAGTGAAGCGAAGAGAGCAGGAGGGTCGCGGTCTCGGGTCTGTTTGTTCTCCTGAGGAGACATGACCGTGGTCTGTCAGGGGAATATGGAAGATGGAGATTGATGGACAGAGGGTAGATTATGGATTTGTCAAATCATGGAGATTGATCGACTCCGAGAAGATGAGGTATGAGCGAGTGAGGAAAATGGATATGAAAGTGCTCTTGCTCGTGAGCGGATACAGCGACTTGGCTGTCAGAGTGAGGATGTGACGTGAAGAAGATCAACCACGAGTCTGCGATCGATACAGAAGAAACAACAGAAGGGAACAATAGCCGACAGGCGTGAGAAGAAGAGAGAGGGAGAGAGAGAGAGAGAGGATTACAACGTCTCTACCCAGCAACGTCAGAACAACTCGATTGTCACGTCACAAGTGACGTGACGTGAGAAAGATCAACAACGAGTCTATCAGCGAAGCAGGATACAGCGCAGAAAGACTGAAAATACTCAAGGAGGACAAGATTTTTTTTGAGCAGACGCAACAACTTGGACTGCCAAAAACAACAACGGTAACGGGAATGTGGCGTGACGTGAACGATGATTCCCCAGCCGCCGATGCGATATCCAGAAGTTTGAAAGAGAAAGAGAAAGGAAGGACGAGGTGCGTGGGTTGAAGAAGTTGATAAGCGAAGGACAATGTAACGGGAGGCAGAAGAAACAGTTCACTACAAAAAGTGGGCGAGGAGATGAAAACTTTTATCTCTATCACTTTCTCTTACTTTTTCGCTGGCGCACCCGCATAGAGATGAAAGCATGCCTTCATCTTCATCTTCGCCTTCATGGCAGCCCTATGGGCCCGTCTCTATCAGTCGCAGACCAGGAGACGCTAGTCCCATCTGGGCTTTGTTGATGGCAGTTGCAATGGTGAATTTCACCCCATGAACGTGAATTTCGGTGCGTGCTGGTTTATGTGGTCCGTGGTCTGGTTGTATATGTTTCTTCGGCATCGATTTGTGGGCATGACAGTGCAATAGAGGCACAGCAGATGGGCAGGTAGATTGCTTTATCGGACATTGGTTTTCCATCTACATCTTTCACTTCCTCCCTCCCTCCCTACAGTATGATATACACATTATTACCCCCAGGAGAACGAACGAACACAGAAAGCACCATGGCGAGTACAAACGGAAAGAAGAAAAACCACATATCAACCTCATTCACGCCAAGAAACAAGCTAACAACTACCTCCGGACACCTTAGATGATATCAGACGGCAACAGCAAAAAACCCAGAATACCAAATTCTCCATCCCAACTCGTCCAAGAAGTATATCGATCACCCTCCGAATAAGCCATGCAGATAGCAAAATCCTCTACCCTATTCCAAGCCCCAAGGATTGGTGGTATACCGTATCCCCCATACAAGACCCCTCAAGCCTTGAGCATGGCGAGAATTGTGTGATCTGGTGTCTAGCAACACAGGAAGGAGGAGGTAGTTACCTATCAATGCGATTACAAGATACCCCCCTCCAACACCCATGAATCAAAGGACCAAAGAAGCACCCGAAAGAACACAATCACCACGATCTATATCTTCGATATGATCCAAGCCAAATCAGAGAAGAACAAGGGGAGGGCAGAGAAAACAGCCAAAGCAAGAACAGAGATTCAAGAGAGGAAGAAGAAACACGTCTACGGTACAGATAACAGGGGTGGAAGAAAGGATTGATCAATGTTCCTTGTACGTATGATCCATATTACAAGGAAGGTTCTTTCAGCCTGCTGGTCCAGGGGACTTATAAAAGATTGAGGTTGAGTGGCTAGTGGCTACATACATTGGTGGTAAGCTTTCATATTGGACAGCAAAGTATTCGACATCTGGATATACTAAGTGATGGAGCCTACGACCAAGAACCACAAACCACCAAGACATCAACACATTTAGAAGAAAAGAAAATTCTCATTATCATAAATCATCAAGAACATCAAATCATTACATCCCATGCAGCAAAGCGAGTAACCAGACACCAACCATCAGACAGGTGCGCTGATATCTGGCCACCAATGCATCCATCCACCCATCCATCCATGTATCCATTAGTCAATCAATCACTCAAATCCACCCATGAATCAAATCTCAAGAAACATGCGCGGACAGACAAAGGTAGTGAGTAGACAGAAATTGCAAATCGAGATGGGCGAGCAATCCAGTCTGGAGAGGAGAGCATGTGAAAAAAAGCAAAGCAAGTAACCTGAATTGATGACGAACAAAAATATCAAATACAGGGGAATCAAATCAAACTATTTCAAACAAAAGGAGTGACAGGTGAAGAGGACAGAAGTTGATATCACAACTTTATCGGGTATATGCATGCCAAACCCACAATGCTAGTAAAAAGGTAGCAGTATTCACCAGGTCTAATGAAGACTCGGTTGCTTTTCTTGGCAGTAACAGGAATAATAGACATTCTGGAACCCCGGGTGGAGACAGGGAGAAGGATTAAGTTGGGGAAGGGTGTTTACTGGTTGGATCGTCCACGGCGACGGAAAGGCGAGAAAATGGCACCGAAGAAGTTGACGAAGACGGCACGCAGAATGGTCTTCAACCAGCCATCGGCCTGGTTGTTCAAGGAGTAAGCCTGGACAGAGCGGTTCTGGCTCTGGGAGCGAGACTTGTCACCGTCCTTCTTGGCCACCTGCTTGTCCTCATCTGTCTCGGCAGAAGCAGTGGGCTCAGTAGCAGCGGGCTCAGAAGCAGGCTCGGCAGAAGTTGAAGGCTCGTTCGAGGCCGGTGTCTGGGTTTGGTGTTCCGGTTCCTTCACTGCAGGCTGCTGGCTTCCAGTAGGCTCCTCAGAGGCGCCATCAGCGGCAGGCACTGTTTGAATGGAGTCAGGTTCATCCACATGTCGGTCTAATGGTGCAATGATTCTCTTACCCTTGGTCTCTAGCTCGGCCTTCTTCTGGTCCTTGTCTTCAGTCTCGGGTTTCTTCTCAGCGGAAGCAATAGCCACCCCAGCGGCAACAGCACCAACACCAACGGCAGCGGCGGCACCAGCACCAATGACTTCAGGAGACAGGATGCTGTCCTTGGATTCAGCAGGCTCTTCTGCAGCGTCCTCCTTCACAGTTTCGGTGGATTCCGATTCGGGGACGGGCTCAGCAGCAGGGACTTCCTCCTGCACGGGGGTCTCGGTAGTAGCAGCAGGGACAGGCTCTGCTTCTTGAGACTCCTCCTGAGCAGGGGTCGTTTCTTCGGCGGGCTTTGTCTCTTCCGCGGCCTGAGTTTCCGGTACCTGCTCAGGAACCGCCTCGGTGGCAGGCTCAGCCACTGGCTCGGGCACACTTGGCCTCTCCTTGGGAGCTTCAATCGCCTCAGCAACTTCGTCTTCCGTGTTGTTCTGGGTGGTCGATTCCTCCTCAGGCTCTTCCGTCTCCGTCACGGGCTCGGCTGCAGGCGGGTCCGCGGGAGTCTCCACAACAGGCTCCTGGGTAGCGGGCTCCTCGATGACCTCTTCCTTCTTGTCAGAGACATCGGCAGCGGGAGCCTCGGTTTCCGTGGCGACTGGCTCCTCTGAGACGACTTCCTTGGGTGCTTCAGCAACCACTTCTTCGGTTTCGACCTTGGCGGGAGAATCTTCAACAATTGGCTCCTCAACCTTGGGCTCCTCGGCGGGTTGGAGGGCTTCTTCGGCTGGCTCCTCCTTCGGTTTGGTGGCGACAGGCTCCTCGGGCTTGACCTCCTCGACCTTGGCTTCTTCAGTCTCGGGCTGGTCAATCTTAGATTCTTCAACCTGGGGCTCTTCAGCCTTGATCTCGGTAGATTCCTCGACCTGGGGCTCTTCGACCTTGGGCGCCTCCGTAACCGGCTCCTCAGCAGTGACTTCCTCGGTCTTGGACTCTTCGACAGTCTCCTCAACCGTGGCTTCCTGAGCCTCGGGGACCTTAACCTTAGGTTCCTCAATTTGGACCTCTTCGGTCTTGGTTTCCTCAACCTCGGGCTCCTTGGCTTCAGGCTCTTCAGCCTTGACTTCCTCAGGCTTGGGTTCTTCAGGCGTGGGCTGCTCGACCTGGATTTCTTCAGCCTTAGGCTCCTCGGGCGTAGCTTGTTCAACCTGAGGTTCCTCGACCTTAGTTTCCTCAGCTACAGGCTCCTCGACCTTGGCCTCTTCAGCCTTGGGTTCCTCCACCTTGGTTTCAACCGGAGTCTCCTCAGCCTTGGGTTCCTCAACCTCAGTCTTAGCCTCTTCGGTAGCCTCCTCAGCCTTGATTTCCTCGGCCTGAGGCTCTTCAGATGCAGGCTCCTCGACCTTGGTTTCCTCCGCAACAGGCTCAACTTCCTTCGCGGGCTCCGACTTGGCGGGGACCTCCTCCGGCTCGTCCTTCACTACCGATTCCTCGGTGGTCTGCTCAACAGGAGCAGGCTCTTCCTTGGCGGGTTCCTCCGTGACGGGCTCCTCCTTGACGGGCTCCTCCTTGACGGGCTCCTCCTTGACGGGCTCCTCAACAGCGGGAGCCTCGGGCTCGGTCTCCTTGACAGTTTCCTCCGCAGATTTTTCGGGGGTCGGTTCCTCGGCGGTAGGCTGGACAGATTCCTCAACGAGGGATTCCTTAGGCTCCTCAGCGGTCTCCTCAGCGACAGGGGCATCAGCCGACACCTCGGGGACCTTTTCTTCGGTGACCTTCTCTTCGGTGACCTTCTCTTCGGAAGGAGCCTCAGGAACAGCCTCTTCGACGGTAGGCTCCTCGACCACCTCCTTGGAAGGTTCGGGTTCAGCGGCGGGAGTTTCGGAGACCTGTTCGTGAGCGGTCTCCTCTACCTGAGACTCCTTTGCGGGTTCCTCGACGGTGGGAGCTTCGGTGGCATGCTCTTCGACGACAGGTTCCTTCTCCGTAACGGGTTCGGACTCCTGCATGGGTGCAGCTTCGGGAGTAGATTCCTGGACAGGCTCGGGAGCCGCAGCCTCCTCAGTGGTCGATTCCTTAGGGGTCTCTTCAGAAACGGGCTCTTCCTTAGCAAGCTCCTCAACGACCTTCTCTTCTGTCTTCTCTTCAGCAGACTCCTTGGGAGTTTCCACGGTGGTCTCCTCTTCCGCAGGTTGCTGAACAGTCGGCTCCTCGGAAGCAACCTGAGTCGGCTCGGTCTCCTTCACCTCGTCAGTAGAGGGGTTCTCGGTATGCTCCTCGGCGGCCGGCTTCTCTTCTTCGACAGCTAGCTTAGCGGGCTCCTCGGTCGCCTCCTCCGTTGGCTTCTCGGTAGCTTCGGCGGCGGCCGGGGTTTCGAGGGCAGACTCCTTCACCGGCTCCTCCGCGGGAGTCTCGGTCGAAGGTTTCTCGGTAGCTGGCTCCTCGGTAGCGCCGTTCACCTCCTTGACAGGTTCTTCGACAGCAGGCTCGGTGGTAGCGGGTTCGTGGACAGACTCGGAAACAGGCTCTTCGACCTTTTCTTCGGCGGCAGCCTCCTTGGGCTCTTCAACCGCAGGAGTTTCTTCAACCGGCTTCTCTTTAGCATCCTCCTTCACGGGCTCCGCAACCGCGGCCTCCACAGATGGCTGCTCATCAATAGATTCCTTAGCGGGTTCTTCGGCGACAGGTTCGGGCTCCTTGGGGGCTTCAGCGACGGGAGCAGGCGTCTCCTCGACAGCAGGCGCTTCCGTCGATGGCTGCTCGACTGGAGCTTCCTCCTTGACAGGTTCCGGAAATTCCTTCTCGGCAACCGGCTCTTCCGGTTGCGGTTCGTCGACCGGCTTGTCCTCGGCGATGACCGGACCGCTGCTCGCTGTCGAAGGCTCCTCGGGTTCAGGCTTGTGCTCACCCTTCTCAACCGCCTTCTTTTCGACAACAGCGGGGACTTCCTCCGTCTTTTCGACGACCTCTTCCACGGGTTCGGGCTGGGACGTAGTCGGTTTCTCCGCCTCCACCGTCTCGGCCGTTCCGTTCACGGGTTCCATCGCGGGCTCTTGCGTAGCAGGCTCGGCGTCAATGACCGCAGGCGCCGCATCGCCGTTTGAGACCGGCTCCTCGGGTTTCGACTCAACAACCGGCTCGGGTTCCTCAACTGCAGCGTCCTTCTCCGCCGTGCCGTTGGTCTCGATGGGTGCGGACGAGTCCTTCTCCGCAGACTCCTTAGCAGGCTCCTCCGCCTTATCAGCGGTGCCGTTCTCAACGGGCTTCTCTTCTTCCTTAGCGGCCGACAGATCCTCCTCAGCGGAAGCGACGGCGGGGGACTCGACGAGGAGGATGTTGTTCACGAGACCATCATCTCCGGGGGCTGTAGCGTAACACAAGCAGCAAATTAGCTCAGAAAACTCAAAATAAATACACCAGGGCCAGGGTCAAACCTACCACTCTTCGCCGTCTCATCATGAAACCACGAGCCCTCGGCATCTTCTCGGAATCGATACTCATATTGACCAGCAGGGACCTGCACATCGCGATAGAACAGGTACTCAGTAGACGTAAGGCCCTCGTCATCCTGGAACTCGACGGTCTTCACGGCCAATTCGAGGGGCGCCCATTTCGGATTGGAAAAGGAACCCGCCACGAAGATGACGGGCGTATCTGAGGGACGGCGCACGGAGAGCGTGACATTCTGGCTGACGGATTCAGCCATGATGAGGTTGTGAGGGGGGGAATTACAAAGACAAGGGGGGGAAAAAAGGTCGTAACAGTCGTTAGGGCAAAAGCAGACGCAATCAATGAGATGAGATGGAGGAAGATCTCACGAGACTTGATTTCAGGGTCAAGTCTGCAGAAAGTAAACAAAGACAAAGAAGCGTCAACAAAACGAACAGGCGGGAAATTTTCGACGGACAAAGATAATAATGTACAGAAGAGGGCGGGGGTATTTGGAGGGCAACAAAAAAGAAGACAACCTCCCAAGTAGAAGAGGGGATGGGGATGGAGGTAGAGTAGTAGTAATTGGTAGTAGTGGGAAGTACGGAGTAGATGGAAGAGGAGAGGATGAGGGGTAGACGAAGGAATTGATAAGGATGACGAGGAGATTGGTCCGTAGGGAAAGAAAGCAAAAAAAGGGAGGAAGAGGGAGAAGGAAGGTCGACAGCCTCTGCCTGCGTACAGGAAAAAAAAAAAAAAAAAAAAAAAAAAAGATGGAGCTCCGGTAGGGTTCCACTGGAGGACTTAGAGTAGTTTAGACGGAGTAGTGCTAGTAGTCAAAGTACGATAGTAGAAGTAACACTAAGGCAGGCGGGGCAGGCGTTGTCCCAGTGACTGCAGACTCGCCCGTTTTAAATTATCATTTGATTCTGTTTAAAAACACTTCTCGCTCTGTCGCTCTCTCCTTATGTGGAATCCTCCCTCCGTAAATAAATCACTACTCCGTATGGAAGTCCCCCTATACTGGAGTCTCTCACATATGATACCCGCTATTCAGGGGCACCAGCACTCCCGATCGCAGGACTGCAGAGCATCCCCCTCTAGATAGTGATCAACTATTAATATTCTCCTCCGTCCGCCGACAGAAGCACCAGAGTTTTTTTCGAATTCTGCGAAAATGCGGTGTGTTGGCGCCATCGTGCGATCACCAATCACTGCCATGCCGGCCGCTAGTCTTCCCTATTGAAGTTAGGGATGGGCGAGGAACTTGTTAGCTGGACTCCCTGGAGAGATACTACTGCTGGAAGTGTCGGCTGATAACCAGACCAGAGCAGAAAAATCTGATCAACGGATGAGGATGGAAGTCGAAAAGTGGAGCCACCTACAGAAGAGGGTCGAGGGAGCTTTTAGAGCGGTTTAGGGCGCTGGTGGCACCATTTAACGGTGGATCGCCTGCCAGTTATGACGACGGTCGGTTTGCCTTATTGTTATGGATTGTTTATTTGATTCCATTTGGTCGGTTTGTATTGACGGAGGAGGAAGTACTATCTTGCAAGTACTACGAAGTAGGGCTCTAGGAATAGATAGACCGGACGGAGTAGTATAGCCATCCCGAATCAATATTAACCATCTCGATCGCGTAACCCTAACGGTGAGATCATCGGGCATGAATTGCATGAACCCGGGAAGTGAGTCATTTGGCCTCGATTGCATAACTTCCATTCAATTTTCGTCGCCTGCGCAATGGGATTGTGTCGGTGGATCTGGCATAACCATGGGACCGACGGACGTTGCCCTCGGTAATTCCCAGGAACTACCCAGACTCCGTAGTAATCATAACCCGATCGAAGAACGAGGTCTGCCCGACGAACTTTATTTGCATCTACTTTGCATCTGTGCTTCTGTACGAAGTAGATTTGCTGCGGCTGTGCGTGATGCTTGTTTGGCCCGTCGGTTCGACGGGCTGTAGTTGCCAACTCATCGTCGATCGCCTGCCTGGATCCAAACTAAGCCGCGGGAATCTCCTGGAAGTCATCACTCAATACTAAAAATTATTCTGTCGGCGGCAATAACCCATCGGACATCAGTATGGTAGGTAAGGAGGGAGGATCTCGAAAAGACAGGCCCATATATCGCCTCGCTAATTCACGCAGTCTCGGCAAAACAAATCGCAAGAAAGAAAGAAAGAAAAAAAAAAAAAAAAAAAAAAAAAAAAACAAACAATGCCCGGGTGAATGCCCCTATAAAGCTCGACTCCAATTTCTCGGAAATCCAATAAATCCCGTGTAGAATGAAACATGACGTAAGAGAGGCCGTGAATTCGTAAACCATGCCATGTCGCTCGTATGGATCGCGCAAGGGGTGCTAGAAAAACGAAACGAAACAAAAGCCATATGCAAAACAGACCGAATTAAATGAAAGTGAATCACACGAAGATTCAAAGGAAACGAGCGCATCAGAAGATCTCCAGATCTTCAAACTCCACCATCAATCCGTCAGCCGCGCCGGAGCTGTCCATCGTCGGTCCGTTCATCGTCTCCCACATCGTGTCGCCGCGAGTGAGACTATTCGGACGACTGGCATACACCCCCACGTGGATGAACTTGTCCTCGACCCCGTAGAAGAACCAAGTCACCTCGCGCAGCTTCTTCCACGTGCTACTGACGGCGCTCGGCGTCCGGGCGTAAGGCGACGCCGACGGGACCTGATACCAGATCCAAAGCGCGTGGCCGATGCGTTCCAGTTTGATGCGCAGCGAATGCTGGGTCGACGCTGGTGCCGCCTCCGACAGGTTCAGGGGAGACAGGCACCAATCAGCCCCGTCTGCCGTGGCGCTGACCGACGAGGCGTTCACCGTCCCCGACGAGAACTCCATCCCCGCCTTGACCCATTTGCAGGGGCGCATTGGGGACAGGGGACCGCCGTGGCTGGACCGGGTCTCTGGCGCCAACGGCACGCTTTCCGACGAAAATGACTGGGGGGCGGCGCCGGCAAAAATGACCAGCCCTCCCTGGTCCCATTCCATCTCCCAGTCCGCACTGACGGTGACTTCGGCCACCACAAATGGATTGCGAAGCGACGTGAAAACAATGGGCGCCGTCGAAGTGTCGCCATTGGGAGGTTTGCGCCAGAGGTCAGTATTGGGACCGGCGGTGAGGGTGAAGTATTCCATACATCGAGGCAGGGAAAAGGACGATGGCAGGTTCAGCGCCGTGAACGATGAGCCGTCCGGAGGCATTTTGACCGGTTAGTAACTGACTGAGCAGCTTGCAATCCGATTAGGCAGATTCTCACCGCGGATTTCCAGCGGCACACGATAGAAGCTAGAGACACCGCGCACAAGAGGCGAACGGAAGAACGCAATCGCTTCGCTTGAAGTTGAACCAAGTCCTTTCGGGGGACTGACAGGGTCAGGTCAGGGTCACTGCTGGATCAAGTGCGGTGGCGGATGATCCTCTCCCCGTATTTGGGTCTGCAATCCTGCTTTTAAACCCTGGACCGGCGCAAATGCAAACATCCGAATCACCTCGGTCGTAAAACGAACCCCGATCGATGTCCAGAAGAAGGAGAGATTAAGGGGTAATAAGGTGACCGACAAATGGGCGGAGGATGGTTGACTCTTCCTCCCCTAAGCCCTTCGAAGCAAGGGCGTTCGCCTTATCAAGGGCCAACTTCACTTGGAATCAGTACTTCCCTTCTAGATTCCCTCATGAAGAGAGTAACACAGACCCAGATCGTGTGAAGGTCGAAGCGATCAGGTCGGGATTGGGAAGTCGAAGGAGAAGTCGATTGGGGGAAGAATTATGGTCAGGCCTCTGGCGATGTGATGTGATGATGTTCGGCAATCAGCGCGAGGACCGAACGTCAGTCAATCGGAGGGTTTGTCAAACACCAAGAAAGGAGCGTGGGATAGTGAGGGTGTGCGCAGAGACGTCGTCAGGAAATAAATAATGAGGCCGACAAGTCTGGCCCAGCCGAGTAGATTGGATTTATAGTAGAGCGAAGTCCCCCCCTGATCTGGGCACAAAAGTTCAGGAGTCGACGATGTCCACCCGAACCAACGCGCTGGAACCTCCTCTGCTTTGCTGGGTTTCTTCCTATCTCACGTAGGTTTTTTTTTTATCTTCTCTTTTTTCGTCTTTGTGTGTCTCATTCTTTTTTCATTTATCTGTTTTTCTTTTTTTTCTTTTTTCGTCTTTTTTTAATTAGTTTCTTCTTTTCCATTCGATTTAGAATTTCTTCCTTGTATTTTCTTTTTTTCCTTCTTTCTTTTCTTTTTTCAAATTGCCCACCCAGGAATGTGCGTTCGCTACGGTCGATTCCTGGCGGCGTGGCATTGGCAGCGATGATTTGTTGTTCAAGGCTGCTTCTGCAGCGAATGCAGGCCAGTTCAGGAGTGGCGGGTCCCATCCTGCAGCTTGGGGGGAGACAACAAACACGGTGGAGGACTTTCAACCAGGGCAGCTGAAACAGATGGCAAAAAAAGTCCCATACTCTGCCAGTCGAAGACGAAGAACACCCTCGCTCTCCAAAAACGTGGATGGACGATGGATTCTTCTTCCCTTTGCCACTCCGCGATGCTTGATCTGGAGATTTGATTGCTTGGTCGCTGCCATGCAACTCGTGGACAGTGCTCCGGTTTATATCAGCTTACCCTCTGTTCGCCTAGTCTGACTCGCCGGTCTCCCTCCTGGTCGGTTGTTGGTGAGACGGTGCGAGATTTTGATTCCGCCAGTCCTGAGTCGCGTCTCTCACGTCCATGTGAAAAGCGATGGTCTGGGCTCCCCCTGGCCAGCCTGACGAATTCCATCGCCTTTGTGACCAGTCCAACCAGTCGCATGCATGTCAATCTCGATCGTGTGGAGGCCCTCTGTCCCCTCCAATCCGCCGTCCAGACCGGAAATTAGGATGCGATGAACCTGCAGCTGAAGAATCCTAGCTGGTCGCAATTGCAACCGGGCCCCGTATCCTCCCGTAAAACATGACTGATGACAGACATGACGTTCTCGCGATCCGAGAGCCTAACCACGTCTTGGATCCCAGCATATCGGATCTCCGGATCCCAAAGGTACCGTCCACACGGACATACATACAGACGGGTCAGCGACTATAAACTAGCAGGGACACCCACATCGTGCATCCGTCGGTTAGCTGCTGTCGAGTATCCTTCGTTCGTGGCCAATCCTACTGCGGACGTCTGCTTGGTCAATCCTACCCTACAGACAAATGAACTTGTCTAGACCGTGCTCGTACTAATTCACCGCTTTGCGTTTGGCGGGCCTGGTCCTTTGGTCCGGATATCGTACTTTGTGCAGGATAACGTCGTTCTTTGGTGGATGTACGCTGTCAACCATCGCAGACCCAGAACTCCATAAATCACATGGTGACCAGCACCGTTGGCATAGTCTAAATAGAGATCGACATCCACGTACTGCATTGTGGAAATCCCTCGAGCCATGGGCGGGGGCATCCGGCCGATCCCCAATCTGCTGGTCTGGTAAACCGAGGCCGTTTGCACGCAGTTCCCCATCGATTTCCATGGCATGCATCACTGCATCATTGCGATAAGGAGAGGGTTGAAATTAAACAACACACCGTAGTCAATCCCCCTCTGATGGTTTTATGTGATCGATAGGCATTCGGCTCCCATTAAGCTTTGGAGGCCGGTTCGCGCAAGAACCCTGAACTATCAGCAATGATGCTGCCCCCGTGTCGATCCTTCCATTCTCATATTTGAAACCCCACGGGCCACGGCTAACGCAAATGGCCCTTTATTTCTTTACGCGCAAATGGTGTGATCTCATTCTTTCCCCAGATATCTCACTCCATCTCTCCTTTCCTTGGCTTCCTTGTCAACCGCCATCATGGCTCCGTGGCGCAGATCAACAGTCTTCAGCGAGAGTCTACTATTTCCCCCCGATAGTTACAATCACAATGCATGGAACGCAGAGATTCATCTGCTCAGGTCGGATCTAGGCCCGCTCCCGTACACCACCGTCTGGCTGGTCTCGGAGTTTCTGATCCTCGTAGCCCTGCTCGTTTTCCTTCCGGGGGCTTGCACGATCAAACAGTCTTCATGCGGTGCAACGGCGCTGTTTCCGACCCTGGCGGTGATCGGGTCTCTCGTCTCCTACCTCCTGTAAGTGATTGCTGCGACCTGCCGGATTCTACCATGCTACATAATGTCAACGCAGCTATCTACTGTACTCATGCATCGTGCTAAGCAAACCACCTAGTTCGCAAATCCTGTCCGTCATCCTCTTGCTTGTTTACTTCCTTGAGGCCACCGTAAAGCAAAGCTACGTCGTCGCGGGAATCTTGCAGATGATATTTCGGCTCCTTGCGTTGCTGCTACTCTGCTACGCGCTGTACCAGGTCATTCTCGGGGCCCTCGAGCGCATTTCCTTTCCGGTGGGGCTTTCCATCCTCGTTAGGAAAGGCCACTGGGGGGTTGTTGGGATTCTTTCTATAGTCGTGATTGCGAATTGTGTCCTGCGGATCGTCTCTGTTGTCAAAACGGTGGAGGGCATCGATGCCGGTATAGCGGCCCATGACAACCGCCTGACTACATCTCGCGCCATCCTCTTCATGATCACGTCTCTGGAGATATTGCTCTGGGCCACATTAAGCATTTTCAGATCATCCTCTAGCTCTGAGCTGCTAGTTAGTAAAGTATCTGGCCCCCAACCTTCTACCTTCCATTCTACCCCCGCACTTGAAATGCGATAACATGGAAAACTAACCTTCTCTAGACCCGGACCATCTCTCTCGTCACCTCTGCTCTCTCCTACCTCGTTCTCACCCTGACCTCGACCATCCGGACCATCCGGTACGTGTACCTGCACGTCCCAGAGCCCGGATACGTCAATGCCGCCTGCGCAGTGGTCGAATTCTTCAGCATAGTCGGCATCTACACCGGTCTTATCATCTACTGGATTCAAATTGAGAAAGAGGAGGAAGCTCTCTCAATAGAGAGTCATCTTCGTGATCGATACGCGTCGGAAAGAAAGCCATACGTCCCTTATCGGCCTTCTATCGGAGAAGTTTTGAGTGGGCCGGGTTCGAACAAGGTCGGAGGGACTGATGGGACGTGGATGGGGAGCTCGGAGGCGTTTATGTCTGGGGGCATATAGATAGCACTTATGGGTAGGTACGTACCGGAGAGCCGTGCTGTTATGTGATTTGGAGATTATTCTGTTCGTTATGTGATATACCCTATTTGATAGCATTTGTTGAATTTTCCGAGAGGCGTGAGCGTGAAAGCTTTGACAGGAATATCATAGCGATCGCAGACAGACCACAGCAAACGTTTTATTCTAGGACATTTCCTCAATGAAAGTACTAACAATTTAAGCTAATCTACGGAGTGGAGGGCTCTATACTTCAAGACACCTACTTGAAAGACAATATATTGACGCAAGCATGGGATGGTTTTAATTTCTAAACATTAAGCTTCCAACTTAGCTTCTCTGTCGGTCTATGATGATATCCAACGAATTAGTACAAGAATACACGATGATTTTAAGAATAAAACAATCACATCTCCTATAGAATAAGAAAAATAAAAGAAAAGAAAAGAAAAACCCAGATGACGCAACCAAATCCTCGAAAGCGGTGGCAGATCAAACGAACCAAACTAACCAAATCGAGCACCACCACCATCTATCATCCATCCATCCATCTATCAACATCAACCATCAACATCCGCATCTACCTAACACCGCTCTTCTTCCCCTGTAAATTCCAATATTTACACACTACCCCCTTCACCAAACCAAACCAAACCAAACCAACAGCCAAAAGCCAAAAACCAAAATGGTCTGCTCCAAATGCCAAAAGAAACTCAAATCAACCGAGCTAGCGACGCCCGGCGTAAAACGCAAATCAGAAATGTACTACGGCTCGCCCTCGGCCTCGGTAGGCGGCGGTGCCGGAGCCGGAGCCAGCTCTAGCAAGTCGAAACCTACATTGGGAAATACGGGTGTTGGGAAGGTATGTTCGTACAGTACATCATACTCTACTTGTTTTTCTGCATAAGCGCATGCATGCTTGATATATTGAGATCTCTTTTTTCTCTCTCTCTTCTATTCTTTCACTTCTTCTCTAGTTCCGTTCTAGTTCTAGGGAGGTATGTGTCTGTGGGAGTGCCTGGCCGACTGACTGACTGACTGACTGACTGAAACAGAGCAAACTACTCAGCTCGAAAGCCAAGAATCCTTACGCGGCATACGCGTCGTCCTGTGAGCTATGCAAGACCAAGACGGAGCAAGGGAAGAAGTATTGTCAGCGGTGTGCGTATCAGAAGAATGGTTAGTTTTTCACTTCTCTAGCTCCCACTCTTCCGTCCCTCTATCTCGAAATATGTGCTGGTTTCATGGTTGAAGCAGAGGCTAATATGTATCTCTAGCGTGTCCGATGTGTGGGAAGAGTTTGGCTGCCAAGGCATCGAAAGATCAGCCTGTTGTGCAGGGACAGAAATTTAATTTGAAATGATTGATTTTTTTGGTTCTTGGATATATGCTACGCTTGATGTTTATATAACCATATGGTTTGCTGTTCATGGCTTGGACTTTGGATATGGCGGGCGTTGGGTGCTATCAGTCTAGTCTATTCTACAATCTACATAAAATTCCATACCCAGATAAATCCAAAAATGATATCAAAAACTCGAATAAAAGAAAAGCTAGTTATACAATACATGACCATACCTATAAGTATATGCAACCCACCAGGTCTGTATACCAGACACCCACAGCTGAACCAAATCGCTAAACAGTTCTATCGGTACAAATTTCACCGTATCCAACTGCTCCACAGAACCCCCCTCTAATAAATCCTCGTATCACGTATTTATTTACCGCTCAGCCAGCATGTTCTTGATGCTAGCGTAGTACTGAGCCCGAACGTACTTCGCAATCTCCTCCTTAGTCAACCACTTGAAACCCTGCAGGTTCTGCAGGTTGGCAGACAGATCTGCCTGGCCGGCCATGATGCGCGCCTTCATGTAAAAGGTCTTCTCGCCGAGGTGCTCCACGCCGTTGGCCTCGTCGATGTGCGGCTTGCGGTTGTTGTAGACGTAGTGGCCGACGGGGTGGTAGCCCACCATCCAGGTGTTCATGTTGACACCGGCGGTCTGGGAAAGGGTACGTTCGGCCGCCTGGTTCAATCCAAGTTAGCCACGCCTCTCCTGAGATTTACAGGCCCACCGAGAGGTTAAGAAAACCCAGGTATAAACTCACCAATCGAAGAGTCTCCTCCGTCTCCACCGGAGAGCTAGGAAGCTTCCAATAACCCTCCTTCGACTGCACAAGCAGATACAGCGTGCGCTGCAACGCACGGTTCAGACTCGTCTGGTCCCCATTCTGATCGGCCTCCGTGACCCGGGAGAACGGTCTCGGGATCTCCTCTTTCTTACTAGTGTCCTGGGAGGTAGCGTTGGCGGTAGCCTCGGCGTCCTGGACGAGCATTTCGACCTGATGATCCGGGTCGGACTCGACGGCGCCAACGAGCAGCTCATCGTTCCACGCGTCCTTGGAGTAGGCGTTGTACTTGCCGACGTCGCGGGCGGGGGTCTGGCGGTCCCGGATCTTGCGCTTCCAGTCCTCGTCAGCGGGAGTGCCGCGCTTGAAGTAGAAGTATTTGGTGAACGGCAGGGCCAGACGCTCGTTGAGACGCCGCTGGTAGAAGTAGTACGCCTTCTCGAACGGCGTCAGGTCGCGGGTGAGCTGGGGCGGACGGGACAGGACCACGCCGGCGTTGATGGTGTAGGTGGGCTTCAGGACGGGGAAGGGGACGGATGCGGCCGACGAGGAAGAGGTGGATTCGGTGGTGGGAGCAGCAGCGGAGGAGGCATAGCTGCGGCGAACGAGGGATTCTTGACAGCTTCTGCACACTCGGGGGTCGGCGATGGAAGGCCCTGTTATTGTCCAAGTCAGTATTGCCCGGGAAGAAACTTCAATTGGATTACACAATCAACATACTCAATACCGAGGCTATGCGCCTGGCGCCATTGGCTCCTGAAGACATCTCTGTTGAACAGGGACCCGTGATGCGGTTGCTGGTCAACAATTCAGATACCTTTTCCCGATAATTGATTGCAAGAAAAGTTGGCGGTCACCTGTCTTGAACCGTCGGAGGCGCTAGTCCGAACGGGGAGTAGCAGTACACGTGACCGTGGTATCCCTTTTTTTACCCGAAAATTTTCCCGCCGCGACTTTCTTTTTCTCTTTCTTCTCACGGCACCTTTTCCTTATCATCAACTGTGTTATGTTTCTCCCACGACCAGTCGATCATTTACCGGTGCTCAGAGTGAGTACTTGGCGGCTATTTCGCTAGCAGTACCTTCTTTATATCTAAGGTGTACTGTTAGATAGATGCTGCATACATTCCTTACTGCCATTGTGCGGTATGGACTAGCTAGTTCGTATCATCATGATCTCGTAGAGAAATATTGGGCAATTGCCAGTGCGGTGCTCGCTAGATCTTGAATATCTATGCGTCCCCTACATGACAAACACTCTCCTCCGTGCCAAACACGCGGAGCTTGTTGCTGTAGACCGTCCAGAATTCTGCGCCGCTCCGAGGGATCAATTGCCCTTTGCTGGCTTTCTCGGCGGCGTCATCCCGCCGGACCTTTTCATCCTCGCTAGCAAGATCGCTGTCGACGTTTCCAACCTCGTCAATTCCCAGCACATCGAATCTTGTGGGAAGACCGATGTCCCCGCTTCCCTTAGCGCTGATGCGTTTCTCCTTTGAACTTTGTTTGTTAGGCTGGTTTTGTGGTTTCGAGATGGGTTCAGCCTCGGACACGCCACCGTCACGAAGCTGGGCAGACAGCTTGATGAATACCTGCGCCGTGAGCAGACTATCGTAGCCTGCTTCGTGCTCGATTTTCCGGCCATTGTATTTGGCATGCTGGCGGTGTATTTCTAACCCAGTCATTACTCATTAGTTCATATCGCATCGAGGGAGCGGGTAAACTGACTGATTTTGGGCGTTGCAGTCTGCACCAGCTTCTCGTTGATGTCACTCAGCGAAGACCGTGGAATGATAGACCCGCATTGATGCGTAGCCAGGTATTTCGTATCAACCAGCACCGGAAACATCTTATGGACCATGCTCTGAAAGTCCTGCACGCGCTCCGGCAGCGGCCCAAAAAAGCACCGGCAGAAGTAGACCAAATCAATGAAGAGATTGTGGCCTACCAGTACAGGCCGGTGTGACTGTAATTGCTGTTTCATTTTCTCAGAGAAAATCTTGAGCGAGGCTTGGGGCTTCACGGCTGTGGAGGTGGACATCGTGTTCTGGAAACAGTAAGGATCAAGATGCGAGAGATCGCCGCCTGCCAACGCTTCTGCCACCCATCTGAAGCCGATTTGCTTGGATATTCGTTCTCGGGCTAGCTTCATTCGTTGCTCACGGACCGCTTTCTCGCGGTTCTCGTCATAGTCAATGATCTGGATGAAGGTAGGATTGCCGATTGTGACCAGTGATGGGTATTCTACTTCTATAAGCTGATGCACGAGTCGTTTTTGGTAGTTGTTCAACGTTGAGGGCATCAACTTGGTGTCATCGTTCACAGTATCACGAGTCGGCGGCGGAATGTTGAGGTATGGTTCACGAGCCTGTAGGCAATTAGGCCAGTTATGTAGATTGAGGAGTATATACCTACTTTACCAAGAGCAAGCCAATCCTTGACCAGCTTTCGAACTGCTTCAATGAACTCAAGGGAGTCATGCTCTGTCTCTTTGACTTCCATAACTGTGCGAGATGCTGTGCGGTTGAACTTCGCCGAAGCTTTAGCCATGGCTATGTCCTCTTCGTCCCGAGACAAATATCGAACGCCATCCTTGTACATTGAGTCCAGAGAGAACTGATTCTGGTGAAGAAAATCCATAGCTATTGCGGTCATTAGCTTGTATCCTCTCAGTGTACACCAGCAGACACAAACCGCCACTTTGGAAGCTGAGATCCCTATCTACGTCCAACTTTTGATCGATACTCGGACTCAGGTATACATTGTAGGGTCGAAGGGTATATGTTGCTAGGAGTCCCATCAACACATTTTCTACAACATGTACAATATAGCAGTCTACCTTTCTTGGTATCTTCATGGCCAACAGTAAGGCCGATTTGCACGATGTTGTATTTATCGGTACATTCCCTGTACTCGTCATACCGCTTCTGAACGGTGGATCTTCCCCTAGACGGTGCTGAATTGGCCTTAGGGATTCCGGAGAATTCGCAATCGATCGACACGAAGTGACAGGTTGCTAGGTCATCTAGGAGTCTGGGAAGGTGGAAAGCAAATGTTCCGGCGGTGATGTCCATTTTGGAGGTTGGCTGGCGACAGCAGAATCACATCAGAGAATCAACTGAAGCGATGAATCTAAAGGCGATCGATCAGACGTAGGTCTGCTCCTGTTGAAGTGAAGAATGCATAGAAGAACTTAGTCCGGGTGCTTTATCCGATCTGCTTGAAATTGAATAAGAGTTCATATTCGAATAGACCGCATTTTGCTCTTCTGAAAGTAGCATAACTGTCAGCTGGATGTCTCACCAAAATTGATGTCCGTGGAATGAATCCCAGGAAAGATGGAAGTTGTTCCAACATGACCAAAACTACCGGAGAGAAGCGACTGTCCCGTGACATCAGACCCCCGGATTAGATCCAGAACGGCCGAGCCGAGGGAAAACGAACCCCGACTTTAGTGTCAACGCTGTCTCCTCCAACCTCCCTCCGCACTCGCATTGCTACTCTTTCTGCTTTTCTTCCCGATACCGACACTGATATTCCCTCCCGAGCATTCCACTGTCTCGGCCATCCCTTCAGATTGATTCATCACTTTCCTCCTTCCGCACGCTGGCGGTGAAACAATGGCCGATAATATGTCAGCGTCCCAGTCGCAACTTGCCTCCACATCGTCCCTTTCGCCCTCGAAACTCTGCTCCAAAACCTACAAGAAAGCCTCGCAGCTGTATCTCACGCGTCGGTTACAAGAATCGTTGACGGCCCTGGAACCTGTCATCACGCCCAATCGACCAGCCGAGGATCAGCAGTATTCCAATGGCGACGATTCCACGGCGCCGATTGCGACCGCCCCCGCCACGTGGAGGATCAAAGTGTGGAATCTATACATTACCCTCTTGAGTACCATACTTGATCTGGGACCCGAGGAGGGGAAACAATTATTCGGCCAGAAAGAATGGAAGGCAATTTCGACCAAGGTTCGAGAGGGGGAGATCTGGGAGACCGTTCTCCAAACGGGCTACAAAGGTCTAGAGGGGTCGGTCGATGCGGAGGTCGTATACAATCTGTGAGTTAGCTTCCTGTTCGACTGCTGATGCTTGCCTCCAGTTGCTAACGCGGTGTTTTTGACAGAGCCACATTATTGCTCAATCACTCGCCCTCGCAAACGCTGAACCAGCAACGACTTGAAACCTACCTCTCCTCGTATGGCCAGCCGAACCTCGATATCGCAGAGCACATGCAGAACTCGCCCAATGGTTCGCAGACATCCCGCGCGCGCCCGAACGGCGGCACCGACACTCCGAAAGATCTCGCTGCTCGAGTCAGGATCATCGAGCTCTTTACGCTCCACGTTCTTCCCCGCAATGAGGAATGGGATTACGCCAGCGAGTTCATCAATCTGAGCGAGGTCCTCGACGAAGAGCGCAAGGAACTCTTTCTACAAACCCTCGACGGACTCAAAGAGGAGCGGGAGCAAGGAGAGCTACGCGCCGCGGCGCTTCAACGGGAGAAGGATGCCGAGATGGAGCGACAGATGCGCGAAGCCGAGCGCGAAAGAGCGGAGGAGGCCGCCGCGGCAGAAAGCGTGCAGAAGAACCACGGTCGCAATCACAGCGAAGTGGACTACGGGATCGAGAAGCCCAACCCGAACGGCAGCCCCAAGGCGCGGGGAAAGCAGACGAGCAGCAAAGGCAGTGGCTCGTCACGAACTGCTTTCTCGCCGCCCGGGTCGAAGAACGTGAAAAGACCCGAGAAGCCCGAGTCCCGGGCCAAACAGACACGGGCGTTCACGAACGTCCTGCGCAACCTTATGCAATACATCTCCAAGTCTATTGCGGGGAATCCCCTGTCTTTTGCCCGTACGATATTATTCATGCTCGGCTTGGTCGTGGCTCTAAGCCGAGAGAACGTGCGGGAGCGGATCCGGAGAATCACCGGGTCTGGATGGCAGAAGGTCAAGGGGACTGTGGGGATGGGCGTGAAAGTGAGCTATATTTAACGTATTTCTTTTCTTTGGACTCAGACTACGAACTGAATTCTGGTCATGTTTATCATCACACTTATCAGCTATTAGACTGGATGCACAGGTCAACATGTTTTATAGGAGTATTCCTTCTTACAAATTCTCTGTACAATTTTTGCATGTGAAGAATTCTTAGAATAGCATCTGAAGGAATGCCCACGGTATCTCTCATCCATTCACATGATTCCATAAATCATAACCTCATCATATCCATCACAAACATACACACAATTATTAGCATATAAAACCCTCCCTAATGGCAATGGCAATCAAACCACCCCATCCCCACCTCTAACCCCAATCCCCTCTCCATGCTCATCTCCCTCTCATTCACTCTCCTCCTCCATCTCCCGAGCACATGAACAAAGAAATGCGCCACACAAATCTGCTCCGTCGTATACAACAACACCGGCACAGACGTCTTCGCCTTAACAACCAGATCCAAAGGCGTCCACATCGCATAAAGCAACGGGATACCAAGCGCGGTGCTCTTCGCCGGCCCACAGAAACAAACAGCGATGGTTTCCTCAGGCGAGATGCGTTTAAAGACAGAGACGTGTTTACCTCCGAGCCCGAGCTTGCATAGCACGAGGGGCGGACGACACAGGATGAAGCAGAGGGCCGTGAGGAAGATGTACAGGGCGATGTTGAAGAGGACGACGAAGATGATGCTTCGTGCGGAAAGAGTCTGGAGGGCGCCGGTGGCGAAGCACGAGGAGAATGTTGCCCTATTTTTGGTAGTCAGTTGATATACTTCAAAATATGAGATGGGATGGAGTAAAGGAAAGGAACATACCAAACCAACAACAACATACAAACAGTCCCGATCTTCGGGATCCGATAACGCTGCAACACCCTCGCCGTGGGGTCGGGCCAAGTCCAACGCACCAATTGACCCACGACAAGCGGCAATAGCACACTCAGACCCAACTGCTTGAACACGTCGCGATACATATCCTTCAGATCGCCGTCGCCTTGTCTCCAGGTCTCGAATTCGGGACGGTCCGGCAACACCGTGACAGTCCAAGCAGCGGTGATGAACGGACCCAGAAGATTAGCTAGCAAGACCTCAACGAGGGCAGCGGCCTCGTCTCCGCCAGCGGAGCGAGTCATGACCACATTCGAGGCGATCGTGGTAGGGATGCACGCGGTGAAGATGTACCCGGCCAGCAAGGCGCGGTCGATATGCGCGTGCGGATCGCCGGCCAGGATGGCGTGCACGACAGCGAGCATGAGGGCGGGGATGAAGAGGAAGGAGAAGGCCTGGACGAGAAGATGCAGACGCCAGTTGAGCATGTGCAAGAAGAGCTTCTGGCGCGGGATGCTAAGCCCCGAGATCAGGAAGATGAGGGCCATCGCGCCGTACAGGATGCTGTATTCGGAGCGGATCACGCCACCGTGTTTGGCGACATTGGGGAAGTAGTAGGCCAGGACACAGGCTACTCCCATGCCGATGAGAAGCCATTGGTGGAGGATGAAGCGAAGAGTGGCTTTAGAAAGCTGTTTGAGCTTGCTGGGCGGTGCTCCTGTCGTTGTGGTACAATCTGGGTTGTCGGGGATGTTGGTTTGGTCTGGAGGGTCGGTGTCCGGGGCGGATTTCGAGCCCATGGTGTCGCTTCACAACGGACTGGTGACTATAGAGAAAGTCGACTTGAAGAAAGCGGATGCATTCATTTGGTATAGAGAAATCATCGAGAGAAATCGATGATTTCTCGCGCGATTCGGGAGCACTGCGGATGAAAAACTGATCGCAAAGGTCGCCATGTTAGCGCAGCGACGGGTTTTAAAAGAAAAATCGGATTAAATCCGATGTTCTGATAGACCGCTGATATGACGAATGATCGATAAGTGTTCTTCAGCGATCGTGATAATGAGCATCGAGTTCTCCATCCATTGGTCGAGGCCTGTAGGTCGGAAATTCCATCAGGCTGTTTCTTCTGCCAGGCGAATATAATGAACTCGGTGGTTTCGTCTGGAAGTTGTTTAAAAGGCAATGGACGGAGGCCTTGGTCCGGCGGCTAAAGGCCCTAAGAAGTCCTGGGACGGCGGTCCCCGGCGGCCGTCTTTAGCGGTGGGGGCGGTTCCTAGTGGTCCCTTAAAACCCCAAGGCCTAGTTACTATATTTTTTCTACACTAGTATTTACTTCACCCAGAGAGCAGTAGGTAGATAGCCGAAACCCCAGAAGCCTAACGATGGGAGTAAAACCCTCAGTCAATTTACAAGCGATTTATCAAAATCCAAACAGGGCAGCAGCCAGATCCGAATCGTTAGCTAAAATTATGCGACCTAAATGAGATCTTTTGAATCTCTCCAGTTAGTAGCCTTACAGCATCCAGTTGCTCTAATCCAAGAAGTTCTCAATATTTCAGTCGCTCCGAGTCTGCGCATGGGCTCGACGCTCAGCATTCTTAATATAACTTGCTGTTTTTGGACCTGTCGCGATGGAATTAGCGATCTGAAAAGGTGGGAAAAGGGCTTATGGATAACCTGACATGGGGAATCTCGTCCACAGCGGTTTGTCGCTCACTTCGGCAATGTTCAACGTATTCTTGAAGACGTTCATTTTTGCGAGTGGCTACATTCCACAGATATCGGCAGCCAGACACCATTCGAGACGCTATCATGCGTGCGACTGTGCCTCCGTTCGTTGGCTGCGGTTAATATCCGTCGGCTGTATACCCCATACACCCTCTCCGATCTGTTTCCCGTACAGCTTCACCAGGATCCCCACCACGACCGGTCCAATGATCGTATTGAGTAGGATTGCCCACACCCCTGTGATGAAGCCTTCCTTGCTGACGTAGCCCGACTCATTGTAACCGATTTCGATGATCAGCAAACCGATCTCACCACGGGCAACCATGGCAGATCCAAGGAGCAAGGCCGCCTGCCAGGTCGCACTGGGTTTGGCATCCGAATCCGCGCTTGTCTCCCTGATTCGATGCAAATGTTCATTTTCTTCGGGGGTTTTACGTTTCATGGAGCCCCAAAGCGGAACCCATATCCCCACGACAAACTATTTCACGTTAAAATCGTCATTCCCACACCCATTATCAGGGCCAAGGACACATACCTTCGCGAAAGCCATCAAGAGAGTATAGAGAATTCCTCTCCAGATTCGTTTCCCCGTCCAGAGCTGCACAAACGGAATGGCGAATCCGACACTCGCAAAGAACAACGGCTCCATCAAATACTTTTGCACATCAAGGAGATATCGCTCAAAGGTGTGGACGAACGTGGGGCTCTTGTCGTCCTCTCGTTCTCCCTCCTCGCGACTCAAGACGACAAACGGGCCCTCGGGGTGCTTGCTCGGAATGTACGTCAAAAACACGCCGGCCAGGAATGCGCCGAAGAGGACCGAAGTGCCGGCATAAGCGGCGATACTGATGAAGGCGGACAGCACGAGAACCATTAAGACGATGTTCGAGAGATGGTCCAAGCGGGCAAAGTGGTATTCGATGTATCGACGGAAGAGCGGAGCGAATACCCATTTGGTGAGCACCGGAGTCCCGATTGCCATGGCGAAGGACGCGACGATGGGGCGGCCGATGAGCCAACCTAAGTTAACGTTGTCGCCCCCAGACAGCTTTCCAAGGTCGCCAATGATACTAGAGGAGTAAGTACCTAGTTGGAATACGTCGTGTCGGTCTGCACAGCCTACCTTGACAGGACTAGCCCTACCACATCATCGATGACGGCGGCGCTGACCAGTATTGAACCCACCCGGGTCTGGGATAAGTCGACGGATTTCGAAGCAGAAGCGATAACGGCAAAAGTAGTCCCTAGCAGTCGCATTAGTATTCTGAAGAGAAGGTATACACCGAAGAAAATTACCCAACGAAGTAGCGGATAGACTTGATCCGATGATAAATGTTTCAACGGCTCCTGGGTATATCCGTCAGATAATCAACGCCCAGGAAGAACTAACCACGATAGAACCACCGGGAGGTAACTACATACCATAGCCGTAGCCCAAGTACAGCAAGAGGTATGACAGGCCGATGGGGAAGCACACCCCCGTCGCGGCGCCCAACATGCTTGGGGAAAAGTTCTGCTTGAGAAGATCAAGCCGAGCGCTCAGCCCACCTAAACGTCCGTCAATGCTCAATATCACTGGCTTCACTGGGATCAGTTGCTACGCTCGCTTGGTACATACCTTCAAATATAATCAAGATCAGACCGACATATCCGACCGCCAGAAAGGTATGCTGCCATTCCGTGTCCAAAATATCCGCAAGCGGCGTTCCATACACCATTCCAATGATAATCGGACCGATGATACCGGCTCTGATGATCTTGGCTGACACCCATTCTGCTAGGGAGAGGAAGAAGAAGAAAGAAATGATTATGAGAATTTCGACAACTGAAAAGAATTAGCAATTGGCGTCTGCTCTCGTCGGGCAAAAAACATTAGCGTACTGCTTGGCTCATGATAGGGCAGAAAGCCTCCTGCCATGTCTTATGCACTGCAGCTGTGAGGATCAGCTAAACAATGTTGATTTCCGAATCTTACACGGTACTATACTGGGATCCTTGTGTGTTGGATGAGTCAAACAATGCCAGTTTATTGTCAAATCGAATGCGATGAAAAACCCGTGATTCAACGTTACATTCACCTCGAGGGTGACTGACAGAGTTTGATTAATCATTCGCGATCCATATAATTAGTTAACTCTTGTCTGGGCATTCTAGGCATTTATTCCCCACTGACACTGCGGTGGATCCAGCATGTGAAATGTCAAAGGTCATCGAATATTCTATGCGCTGAGAACGCATTCCACTGTCGCTTTCTCGCCGAACAACCACCCTATATATTGATATAATTGATAAGTTCAATAAATTAACCCTGGAAGTTTTCATTCTGCATAAATTGAGCTTATTAGCCCATTGTACGCATAGATTTGCGGCCCATTTGTATTACAAACTGCTCCATAAATTATGGTTTGAAGACATACTGCGGTGCAGCCTCACGTTTCTTTTTAAATTTTAACTTTTAACTTTTAATCTTTAATTTTTTTTTCGTTTCTTTCCATTTCTCTTTCTTTTTGATTTATGCCCCATTAAACAGAACATTTCAAATAAGACTGTACCGTACCTGATCACCTGACGAACATCCCCACCTGACGAACGTTTTTCAACTCAGCGCCCACGTAGGAATTGAAGCCGTACAGCCACATATGTTTCGAATTATATAGAACTTTTTGAACGGAGCGAAATACATATGAAATTGAAGCTATATACTCTTTTTTTTAATCGCGAAAGCGCTGTGGGAGCCTAATCTGCCTACCTCTGCGATTAAGCGTTGGAGGGACCTCATCAACGACCTCAGGCTCTACAGCAGCCCTACTGTCCGATTCCTTTGGCTTTGGAGTCGCCGGAGCCTTATTCTTAGCTTTCTGAGCGATATTGAAGTCATTTTGAATCTGTATATCAGCTTGCTTAGCGAGCTGATTATCCTGCTTTTTCCGCTTCTTTTCTTCTGCCTCACGGAGCCTCATTTCTCGATTGGAAGGGCGAATTCGCTTGCGTTCTTCGACTAAAAGCTTTTTTTCCTCTTTCCCTCGCTGCTCACGAAGCCTTTCCTCTTCTTTTGAAGCTTTAGCGAGCTGTATAGCTTCATCTTTTTCTGCTTGAAGATCACGGGCTTGCTGAATTTTGCGAGGAGAATAAAACACCGCATAGCCGTCCTCAGGGGCCCGTAATTCAAATAAAAAAGGTTTGCCTCGCTGGCGCTTCTTTTTCTCTTGAAGAAGAGCCTCTTCAAGGCCTTGGCAGCGTAGTTTTAGAATGATATTCTCCGTAGACAGATGATGCATCGTAGAATTCAATTTTTTCGCTTTTTGATCGTATAAATCGGTGACTGCATGCTTAAGAAGCCTCTCAATCTTTCTCCAATCCTCTGCACCTAGCACTGAGCGAGATGAGCCACTAGATGAAGGCCGGCTATCATCCTTTCGGTTGAATCGTGATAAAACGATCTCAGGATTCAATGGCCAAACGCCTATGTTTTCCCACGAAGAATCAATATTTTCAGGTGATAAAGCCCTCTTCCATGACAGCCAAAAGAGGTGAAAAAAGTCTCTTTTCGTGATATGACAAGGACCTTGAGATTGATGAAGAAATCGCTCTAATTCCGTACTATACGCGGTAGATAAAGGTCCAAAGATTCCGACGTCA